TGTGTGTGTGTGTGTGTGTGTGTGTGTGTGTGTGTGTGTGTGTGTGTGTTTTAATGAAGCTTGGTAAACATGAAAACACTGGGGTGACTGAAGTGTAGATACTTAACTCAGACCTTCATTTGTGAATCATACCAGAAACACTGGATAACCACCTCAGAGATTATCTCAAAGCAAAGGCCACCATCCCCGGTTCCTGCTGACAACTGAAGAACTGCTTGCTAGTGTTATAACAACTCTTGCCTGTTCCTTGAAACTCCTCGAGGGCAGTCTCCCTCTTTATGTGCTATCTGACTCTGCCATCTAAACAGATGTTTGCTATATTTTTTATAGCAACAGTATGAGCCTGCAAAGGCAGAGGGCTCAGGTACATGGTAAAAGTCAACCCTCCAAGGAATTCCCTCAAAGCCCCTATTCAGGTCAGATTCGGACCATTGCCTGTGGCTATAATGGGAAAATAGAAGTTGGGCCTGCTAGGAAAGCTATTCATTCTTCTTGAACCTTGACTTTGATTCAATTCCTTCCTTCCTTGATAGTGACTCTTGCATAAAATAGCACTGGCTATCCAAAGCACCAGCTGGGTCTGAGCCAACAGCAGCATTGATCACCCTTTTTTTTTTCTTTTGGTTTTTCAAAACAGGGTTTCTTGATGTGGCTTTGGAGCCTGTCCTGGAACTCCCTCTGGAGACCAGGCTGGCCTCGAACTCACAGAGAACGGCCTGCACCACCACCGCCCAGCACAATCACTTTTTCAATGATTAGAGTCTCTTGTGACTATGAGCTGCTATGGGGGAGGGTGGAATCAGAAATGAAAGGACAGAGCGGTTCTCACTGTGGTTGAAAACGAGGACTTTCACTCCCCGAGAAGCAAGGAGGAGGTGCACACTGCTTGGGTGCTTTTGAAGCTTTAATGCTAGAGTTTTGCCTGAGGCTTCTCTGTGTGGTGCGCCCCTCTCGTTACCCCTGTGTGGAGCCAGCCTTGCTCACTACTCCTGCTCAGTCACACCTTCTCACACACTACCTGAACTGTTGAAATGAAGCAACCCATAGGTGGGGTGTAATTGAGACCAGTGACGTGCACCAATGAGCAGACAGGGAGAAAGGATTCTTCACTCCTCTAAGGCTCTGTGATTATTATGGTCTGTCTCAGCCATGGCTTTCAAACCGTGTTTGCCATGACCCACAAAGAATGTATTTACTTTATGACCCAGTCACACACACACACACACACACACACACACACACACACACACACACAGATACACACTGAAACATACAATGTCTTCTAATTTTACCTTAAATTGAAAAGCACTTAGGTACAAAAAAAACAAAATGCATAAAGTTACTTTAAAAATATGTGTGAGCCAGCTAAACACTGAGCTGAATTCTGGCATCCAGTTGTAGAGAGGGAGGAGTGATGAGCAAAAGGGTCAAGACTAGGCTGGAGAAATCCACAGAAACAGCTGACCTGAACCAGACTGATAGCTGGGAAACCAGCATAAGACTGTTCCAGACCCTCTGGACGAGGAGGTCAGTTTGGATGTCTTAACAACCAATAGGGCCTCTGGTAGTGAACCAGTATTTACCCCTAGTACACAAATGGACTTTGGGAGCCCATTCCATGTAGAGGAATACTCTCTCAGCCTAGACACACTGGAGAGGGTCCAGGCCCTTCTCCAAATAATATGACAGATTTTTAAAGATCCCCATGGAAGGCCTCCCTCTCTCTGGGGAGCAGAAAGGGGTTGTGACAGGGAGTAAGTGGGGGGCAGGGGAGGAGGGGAGGGAACTGGGATTGACATGTAAAAGAAGCTTGTTTCTAATTTAAATAAACAAATGTTGACAATAAAAAAAGTATGAGCATGAATATAGGAGTCCTACCCTGAGATTACACTAATTTCTTAAATTTATGATATTGATGTCACTTTTAAAATACATTTCTCTGTACAGATTAAAATTTAAGCCACAAGACCAATTCCTTCCTAGGGTGTCCTTGTACAAAGTCTGGACGATAACTGGCAGGTGTAGGTAGCACAAATTTGCCCTTCCTTGCCCATAGCAGATTTCACTCATCAGTCATAATATTCTTTTCCAGTGAGCCCCAGCCAAAGCCTCAAAATCCATCTCAAAACAGTTATCCAAGCAGATATGATGGCTGCTGCTCCACTGGCTCAGAGCTAATGTGTTATTTTCCCACTGTATACAAAACCACTCTGCTGACAGCCCAGGAAAGAGGCCACGGAAACATCACTCTTGCTCACAGCTAATAGGTAAATAAACACATCCAAGGACTTGTTCGCTGTCTGCTAAAAGCAAGGGCTTTGTGCACAGCAAAATAAAAACTAGGTCCACTCCTGAAAATAACTTGGAAAGCATAGAGTGGATCCTGTGCTCATTTTAGTTGAGAAGGCAGAGTCTTCAGATCAGGCTTGCAGGTTCTTGCTGAGAGCCAGAATCTCTAAGACACAATACTGACAGAGTCTGTCCAGATATGGAAAAGGATTTTAATAGTTAAAGAACTCAAAAATATTACCTTGTACCTTAGCAACTATTTATTTTAGAAATATCTTTTATTTCTAAAAAATATTTTAAAATCTAAAGACTGACCAGCCTGGTCTACAAGAGCGAGTTCCAGGATAGGCTCCAAAGCAATACAGAGAAACCCTGTCTCGAAAAACCAAAATAAATAAATAAATAAATAAAAAGAAAATTAAAAAAAATCTAAAGACTGAGTGAATATCTACTAGACAGGGCTTAGGGGAGGGGACACACATAAAAAGTTTAAAGTTTAAAATTCTGTAACAGAACACTGTTCCATCTGAATAATTAATTTCATGCAGAGTTGTTTAACATTATGAATCCTCCCTAGAACATAAACCCCTGTGGACACGTCCATCTGTCTATCTTGTCATCTGCCATCTCCTGCTCCAAGATAGGACCTATCTGCTGCAGGCGTTCCGGGGAGACATGTAATAGGCCACTATGCTAGCAAATCTCTCCTTTGCGCCACACTGAGGGAACGCATGCATTTTCCAGCCTCTAGCAACCACTGTTCTTTTCCTTCTGTGGTCCTGAGCTATCTGCACTTCAGATATGCTAACATTTCTCTTACATGGGTCCCTCAATTCTAAAGACGTGTCCTGATTCTGCATTGGGCAGACCTGGCAAAATCAATGTTCACCTTCCTATCTATACAAGGAAGTAATATTTACAAGGTCAAGGCCAAGCTACAAGGTACCAACCCAAGGCAGAAAAACCTGAGAAGGCCAAGGACTATGAAGTTGCTTGAAACAGGTGAGTGCAGGACAGGGACAGACACAGCACAGAATGACAGAGCTTGGGATAAGTGGTTTAGGTAAGAAAACCAAGGACATAGGGTAAAGGCTCTCGCTGACTGGTGGGGAAGGAAGGCAGAACAACAAAGATATTTAAAAGGAATTGTTCTGAGTTGGAAATCTTGAAGCTGAAGCACTTGCCAGTTGGAGGTTCAAGACAGAATGGTGGCTGTCCTGAGCTATGGTAGACTAAGACAAGAACACATACTGTTTCTAACAACTTAAGGACATGCCATTGGATTCTGATCTCTTTGTATTTAAAAATACTTGATCCCCCAAGTATTAAGCTGATGAAATTAGTTTGAGAATTCTAAGATCATGAAGCCGTATACAGTGTCTCCAGCTGAACTGTCCCCACTAAGCCTAATTATCTGTGGCTTTGATTCATTGTTCTCAATTGAATAACCTATTTATAAAGAAGAATCCTATTTTAATTTAAACTAGGTGCGGTGGTGCACACCTATCATCCCAGCACTTGTGAGTGGAGACAGGAGAATCGGAAGTTCGAGGTCATCCTCAGCTCCGTAGTTAGGTCAAGGACAACTGGCCTACATGAGACTGTTTTCAAAAACAAAACAGACCAACAAAAAAAGCAACTACAACAACCAAAAAAAGCCTATCTTATAAAAACATCATTTTGATTAACAGCAAATATTTGCAGAATGCATGCAGACTTCTTTATTTGCAATCATTATTTCACCTGTCCTTTTGGCCAATGGCCCCTCCTTAGCCACCTCATCTTACTGGATAGACCCGATAATTTCAGTCATCTTACGAAATTTAAAATCCAGTTATCTCCAACATAATGGGGCTTTCAGTACTATGCCTTTATGACCAAATATAGGAAAAGCCCTAAAAGTAAGGAATTTCTTAGAATAATGTAAAAGCTTCCATTTTTTCATTCTGTAAGAAAGACTTAAGTGCCCAGTGACATTCTCCACTAAAGCTACCCTATTAATTTAAGGAATCTCATTCATTCTGCCACTGGTCCTTATTCATGAACAAAATTTCCTTGGCCCCAGTGGTCCACATACTGCTCCTTTACTTTTACTCCTTAAAATTCAGGAAAGCCTATGTGAGTAATGAGGCTGAGGGAAATGGTGCAGAAAGTTGCTGGGATCACTTTTAGTAAGGAATTTAATATGCATAGTTTAAAATTGACCTTTTAGTCCAAGTTTTTATTCAATTCCAATGCAAGAAATTAAGCAGCAAGGTCACTGTGAACATTTGTATGCAAGTGGCAGTGAACGGTATGATTCATGGATTTTTAAAAACTTGGTTAGAAGCCAATAGATTCTTTTTCAGGCAAACAACAAGTATAAATGCAGGAATTTAAAAAAAAAAAAAACAAACTAAGCTTTTGACATCACACACACACACACACACACACACAAAGCAACTGTCCTTTGAGGGGAAATGCCATAAATCTGAAGTGTGTGTGTGTGTGTGTCATTTATATGTAACTTCTTCCCTAGACCGTGCATGTCTAATAGTGATGCATGCGTGTAAGTATATAAATGTTATTCATACAGATGCTGCCATTACACATTTCCATTTCAGGGGTTAATAGCTTTCCACAGGTCACTGTAAGCCTCTGTCTTCTCCTTGGTTGATATCATAAGTGCTGAACTCCACAGCATTAAAATCATGTATCTCATATTCAAGGGACAGAGAAAAAGTGAATTGACTATAATTAGAAGTTACAGAGGCCTCGAGTTACTAGAAATATCCAATTCATGTTCTAGCCTCTCAAACAATATCCCCTTGACAGCGGGCTCTTACATGGAGGTATATTCCATGCTGTAGGAAAGAAAGCCCCAAGAGTGTTGCTGTCTGTCTACCTATGGCAGAAAGCGCTTGCTCCCTGGAGGCATGGCAAAAACTCCTTGACCTAGCAGTATCCATTCCACTGCTGGACCAACTCTCATGAGGAACCAGCTTAGAACTAACTCTCCCCAGATCCTAGGAAATTCAAGAGATTTTACCACTATGAATTCTGAGGGAGTGGCACCTAGGCACACTTCCTTCTTGTGTCTGTGCCGCTTTGATTAAAATCATTAGAAGCAATTTTAATGTCACATCTTTTACAGTTATTTTCTTATGGCCAAATTAAAATATTACTACTGTTTCATGATCTAGTCAGGTCTTCTATGTGAAGATGGATTTGATTTGATATTTGTTCTATGGAAGAATACAGAAATTAGAATATAGCTAAGAATGAACTCCTCTCATACCACACAAATTTTACAGAAACTAAGCCTGTGCCATTTCATTGAAACCATGGGTTAACATTTAATAAGGGAAAAAAATACAGTTAAATGGAATAGTCCAGATAGACATACTGTTCTTAAACACAAGGTTGATTGCCAGCCGTAAGGGAGAGACTGGAGTAAAGCAATGCCGTGGCAGGGCTTGGCTGACAGTGGGAAACAAATTGGAAAGGCTTGCCCCTGTTCTGGTTACTCATCCAGATGTAATTCCTCCCTGAAGTCCCTCATATTCAGTTAATAGCCTGGCTTCACCATGAAAACCATAGCTGTCAAAATGAACTCTATAGAGGTCCCATGCACCAACATCTGGCTCCTCCTGCTACACAAATTCCTGTGACCAAAGATGAGCAATCCCCATCCTCACCAAGATTGCCTTTCCACCCTTCACAACTCCTTCCCTCCTCCCCCAGTCGGCCCATCTTATCTCTTTCATCCCAATCATTCTCACTGACATACACTTACTTTCTTAAATGCATTCTCATACCCTCAGCTACCACCCGATTTCGCTATTGTTTTGTGCAGTCACTTGGCTCCTTTAGGAACCTGTCATAGTTACTGTGCTATTCCTGAGTGACACCAAGGCCAAGGCAACTTTTAAAAGCAAGCATTTAATCGAGGGATTGCTCACTCTTTCAGAGGGTTAATCCGTGAGCGTCATGGCAGGAAGCAGGCATGGTGCTGGAGCAGGAGCTGAGAGCTCACATCCTGACCTGCAGGCATCCTTCCTCTTCTGCTTTCTCTCTCTCACACATTCAAAGCATGTGCAGACTCTCACCATGTCTCCCTGTTTCCTTCACATTGCTATGCCCCAGCCCAACATGCTCTCCCATCATTTGTTTCTACCTGTTGTCTTCCCCGACTGTAGTGATGTCCAATCAATCCATTTCTCCACTTGGAACCCTGTAATGACTTAAGAGAAAATACAAATATTTACAGTCAACTAATAAGGCCTGGCCTCCCTAGCCTCATTTTATACTCTCCCCTGCACACTGTGTTCAAGGTTCCTCAGTCTTCTTGCTAGTCTTGGAATACATCCATTGTCTTCCTAAGGGCTTCTACCACAAGCCAGGATCCCAAGTTGCTTAAACCAGCATGTAAAAGTGAATTCAGCCTAACGATATCATGATTAACTAAATAAAACAAATACAATACAGTGGTATTCTGTAGTCTCTAACAATCCCTCCTCTACGTTTACAAAAGTTCCAACTGAATTACCTCCATCTAGAACATTCTCCTAACATGGGAGTCAAGTCTTTATTCAATAATTATCTGAACTAAAATCTTCCCATTCCCATTTTTCTACAGCTCTGACAACAAATTGATAACCTCGGGCATTTTTTTAATCAGCTGCCTTTAAAAGAATGGTTTGCTAAATTAGTCAACTATGAAATCACCTCAACCAAATGATTAAGTTCAGATTACATATCAAATCCATCACCTGTTTTTACTGCAGGAACATACGATCACTCCAGGTTGTTAATTACAGTGTTTGTCTGCCTGTCTTTTCTTATGTACATAGCACAGTGTGCAGCCAGCACCAGCTGTCATGTCTCTAACCTACTGTTTGAAGTGGCCTGCAAGCCACTGGGTAATGACATTCCTGTAGCCAGAAATAGTACTGCATTACCTCCAATGTATACCCAAGGGAGATAGTATTTAACGATAAGCCCCCTTCTATCCAGGCATGTCACCTGTGCCAAAGGACAGGAAAAGAGCTCTGGCTTGCCTTAGGAAAGACTATGGTTGTCACGCTGAATTAGCATGACAGCTGTGCTAATTCGTGGGAAGCCACACCCCCTCCTCCTGCCCTTCACAGTCAAACAGGATATGTGAAGCCACCACCATTTCCTAAGCATGTTCATATGACCTTATTGACACCTCAGAGTAATAATAGCAGCCGAGTAGTGTTAATTCCACCTCATAGATGAAGCTCTGTGATACCTGACGACAAGCCACCTCCCATACCTCTGCTGTCACCATTGTCTCCAAACACTATCTCCATACTTGCCTCATCGCCATCATTTCTCTCTGCACTAATTGGGCCCAGAGTTCACAGCTGTCTTTCGGGGTCCTGCGTCATGTGTCCAGCGACTGGGATACCTTCCAAGTGTTTTAATTGCTTCCCTGGGTCTTTTCTCAAGCTTTTCTCAATCCGTCTTCGGTGTCACTAAGGTGGTCACTGGCCTTTCAAGGCAGCTAATGAGAAAGTTGAGTCTCAAGGACTTCACTAATGTCTCCTGTGGCTTCTCTCTGGGAAAAAGAAGATACCAATGCACCCAGGACTGAGCCTCTAGGGTGCAGTCTACAGTGGAACTGCTGTCTACACTGATGCCTATACCCACAGAAGCCAGCCTTCCCTCTGAGGAAAAACAAGTGGACAGTGGGATTGGTGAGGATACTGTGTGTTGGGACTCTCCATGTAACAGACCGATCATGGATCTCATTGGACCAATAGCTCAAGATAAAGAAGGGATGCAGTTATATGTTTGATTCAACAGAACGGAAGGACGACTCATCGGATGCTCTGTACTGCTGAAATCTAGCCTTCTATTCTTCTGCCAAGTGCTTCTCACAGTTGATAAAGGAGAACGAGGGTTCCGTTGCATTTGAATTAGTTACGTCAAGTCTGTCCCAAGAGTGGGGTATTTACTGGATCTCCACATCTCCCATCCCAGCTCTCGATAGCAGTAAGGATCCTTGTCAGTCTGTCCTAGAACTGTTCTCCAGAATGAGGTACAGACTTACACAGTCTCACAGCTGGGAGCAAGCCTAGAAGACCCTGAATCTGGTGCTTGAACCTCATTAATGTGAAACCTCTTGCAAATATCAATACCTTCCATCATGCCTCACCAGAAACAGCACTACATTTAAACTAGCCTGAACAACAGAACCACTTCAGAATATTCTCGGGCGTCCAAAACGAGAGTTAACCAATTCAAAACTTAGGTAAGCATATAGTAGGATTTCTTCCAGCAGGTGGCAGCCAAACCTTACAAGAAAATATATAGTGTGAGTGGTACACTTGTCTCCTGACAGGAAAAGTTACTACCACATTGTCCACTCTATTCAGGAGGCTCACCATCTTCAAACTCTACTCAGGAAATCATAATGAGATGGGAATTGGAGCAGGTGGCTTTGCCGGGGTGACAGGGCTAAGCAGATTCTCTGACAGTCAGCCTGCCTCGGGTTCACCTACCTGGTAATGTTCCTGCAGTATTGGTGTTGGGTTGGGAAACTCAAATAGTGGAGCACTGAGGCAGTTCTGAACACGAGTCGTCCAGTTAGGTGCCAGGAACCTCAGAGCAATAAATCATATGTGACATCTCAGCCTCATCTGCCACTGCACGACACCCATACAAAAACACTGCCCTTGACTGTGAGCTCACAGAAATAATGGAAAAAAAAAAAAACAGACACGATATGAAAATAAAGGAAAAGAAACTGTCCCTATGGATGTCTCTTCTCTCCTTCCCCCAAAGTCTTTGTGTGAACAAAAGAAATATAAATAGCATGAGGTCAGTATATTTATCTTTCTAAATCCACGGTCTATGATAACTAGCCAAACCATCTCATGGACCCAATAAAGGTAAGGATAGAAAAGTAATAGTCTGTGGATCATAGTTGTACCTGAGATGTACCTTTCTTCCTCCTTGGGGAAACTAAATTTGATAGGGCAACAAGGAAAGTGAGTTTGTTCCTTTCCTGTTTACTACTTTTTTTATGACTTAGTGCATCTGTGTATATTTATGAATCTATGCATAGGTTTGTGCACAGGTGAGTGGAGATGTCCACAGAGTCCAGAAGTAGGCATCAGATCCCCATGGAGCTGGGGCTACCGGCAGTTGTGAGCTGCCCGAATCAGGTGCTGGGAAAAGAACAGTGTGTTCTCTTAACTTCAGAGCCATCTCTCCAGTCCCATACTTGTGTTTTAAGCAGTTTTCCTGTTTAAAAAAAAAAAAAAAGTCTCTTTGAATGTTCTCCATGGGTCAGTTACCTGCAAACAGTAACTGAAGAGGTAGGTTTTCTGTCAGCTGTAGTGTTGTGTAGACATGACTGAGTGTGCTGGTGCATGGGGAATGTCCTAGCCCCACCCTTAGGCAGTAGGAGTAGAGGTCTCCATAAGACAGCTGATCCGAGCAGATGGGGACAGGGCCACATACAAACTAGGTGAGTTGAAGTGCTACTCATCACAATATCCTCTGTGGTGTGAAGAGAGTTTTAAAATAGCAAATGATAAATAAGGGCGGAGCTGCTTTAGGGTGTCCATCCTGTGATTCACAGGCTACAGCATGCCCAGAACAACTATGGATGCAGCTCAACACAAAGCTGTAAACCTACTTAACACTGTGTGTGTGTGTGTGTGTGTGTGTGTGTGTGTGTGTGTGTGTGTGTGTGTGATTGTGTGTGTGTGTGATTGTGTGTGTGTGTGAGTGTGTTTGTGTGTGTGTGATTGTGTGTGTGTGCATGTATGCATGCACGTGCACCCATGCATGCTGTGGCCCTCACAGAGATTACAAGACAATTCTGAAGAGCCTAGTCTGTATCTTTTAATGTACCCGCCATGCTGTGTTGCAGGCTGCAGGCTGCCTGCTTTGTGAGCCCTCAGGCCATTGGGCCACTGTTCTGCCTCTACGGGAATAATACGATTATTGCATCCAAATGACTATTTGTCTCATTGGTACTGTTTTTAGCTATTGATTTTTTTTTCTCATGTAGGTTCCAGGGATTAAATTCATGGCCAGGCTTGTATGGCAAGTACTTTTTCTCTTGAACGATTTTGCCAGACCAAGATTTTTTTTTAATAACTCAATTTCAAGGTTCTTTATGAATAGCAAAGTCTCGTTGCGATGACAAAGGCTGGATGTGGCTGCTTCCTTTGTCTTTCTCCATCTTCAGCACCAGATGTCCCTGCTTCCTTCTGAAGCCTCCTCTCTCACTCGTCTACCTAAAGCCACCTGATTGCTTCTTACTAGATTTTAGCTGCACGATAGAGCCCTGCCCCATGGAGGCAAGGACTGCAATGTCCCCTCTCGTTCTCCAGTTGCTTAGCAGAACATCTAAGCTGTGTTAACATTTGGCACAAATTTATGAGTAGACAGACTGAGGAATGAATTTCACCGCAATAAGAACTCAACAAATGCCTGGCTGTCAGAACAGGAGGTTCCTAGTGCAAGCTTTCTGTGTCTGTTCCTGTGAAAGACAAGATGCGTGCAATACAGATAGATAGTCACCCTCTCTTTTGGGGCCTTGAAACTCCATGTTCTAAGAAAAGGGAACCTCATTTTGGGGGTGTAATGACTCAGTCCACCCTGAATGGCGAAGGTATGAAGGGGAAAGTTAAATGGAAGGGAGAAGACACACGAGAAGCTTCCTCTGAGGCAGTTGAGCTGTCCCTGGGTGGAGAGGCTGAGGACCATCTGTGGAGGGAAGGAGTCATATGTTAGAGAGGAGGCCGCTGCACTACTCCCACTGGGGTGGTTGTCAAAGATTCCATTTACAGCAGCAGAGCTGCTGGGGTACAGGGAAGCTGTAGACAAAGCCAGTAGATGTCTCAGCGATAACCTCAAGGGACAGATGGCAGAAAAGCAGCAGGTGCTTCCCCTCAAGAGCCAGAAACACAGAGAGGCCAACAGAATAGCATGTTGGATCTTCAGGCACCATAGGGATATACAGACCAGAGTCCAAAGTACACTGTCTCGTGAAGAAACATGAAGATGTTTCTCATGTCACCTGAGTGCGTGAGTCTAGGTGTACATCTGCTGGGGTTTTGTTTGTTTTTCTTTTTATTTAAATTAGAAACAAGCTTGTTTTACATGTCAATCCCAGCTTTCTCTCCTCCTCCCCTCCCTGCACCAGACCCCCTATCCCATCCCCTTTCTGCTCCCCAGGGAGGATGAGGCCTTCCCTGGGGATCTTCAAAGTCTGTCATATCATTTGGAGCAGGGCCTGGACCCTCCCCAGTGTGTCTAGGCTGAGAGAGTATCCCTCTATGTGGAGTGGGTTCTCAAAGTTCATTTGTGTACTAGGGATAAATACTGGTCCACTACCAGAGTCCCCATGGATTTCCCAGACCTCCAAACTGACATCCACGTTCATGGGGTCTGGATCAGTCCTATGCTGGTTTCCCAGCTATCAGTCTGGGGTCCATGAGCTCCCTCTTGTTCAGGTCAGCTGTTTCTGTGGGTTTCTCCGGCCTGGTCTTGACCCCTTTGCTCTCTGCAACTGGATTCCAGGAGTTCAGCTAGGTGTTTAGTTGTGGGTGTCTGCCTCTGCTTCCATCAGCTACTGGATGAAGGCTCTAGGATGGCATATAAGGTAGTCATCAATCTCATTATCAGTGAAGGGCATTTAAGGTAGCCTCTCCACTATTGCTCAGATTGTTAGCTGGGGTAATCCTTGTAGATCTCTGGACATTTCCCTAGTGCCTGAATTCTCTTCAAACCTATAATGACCCCCTCTATGATGGTATTTCTTTTCTTTCTCTCCTCTATTCTTCTCCTGACTCAATCTTCCTGCTCCCTCATGTCCTCCTCTCACCTACTCTTCTCCCCTTCTCTTTCTCCTAACTCTTTCTACTCTGCCACTATGCTCCCAATTGGTTCAGGAGATCTTGTCCTTTTCTCCTTCTCCATGGGGCCATGTATGTCTCTCTTAGGGTCCTCCATGTTTCCTAGCTTCTCTGGCAGTGTAGATTGTAGGCTGGTAATCATTTGCTCTGTCCAAAATCCATATATGAGTGAGTAAATACCATGTTTGTCTTTTTGTGTTGGTTACCTCAATCAGGATAGTTTCTTCTAGTTCCATCCATTTGACTGCAAATTCAAGATTCCAACTGTCTTTTTCCACTGAGTAGTACTCCATTGTGTACCACATTTCTGTATCTATTTTTCAGTTTAGGGGCATGTAAGTTGCTTCCAGGTTCTGGCTATTACAAATAATGCTGCTATGAGCATCATTGAACAGATGTCCTTGTTGTATGAATGTGCATCTTTTGGGTATATGCCTAAGAGTGGAATTGCTGGATCTTGTGGTAGACTGATTCCCATTTTCCTGAGGAACTGCCATACTGATTTCTAAAGTGGCTGTATGAGTTTGCATTTCTTCTCCTGGTGGGTACAGATCCAAGGTTCCCTTCCAGTGGGTGCAAGCAGGTCCAATACTTCGATGTCTCTCCTCTTCCTGTGGGTGGAGGTGGGACTAGTACCGGCACATTGGCAGACCTTGGATGGGCTGTTCCACCGGGGCGGGTTCCCCAGTGCCCAGTCCTCAGGCCTCAGGATGCTCCGAGCAGGGCACCAGTATCATGGCTGTTGAATGAATGAGGGGCACTCAGAGTAAATTCTCATTATTATGAAGCATTTGCACTAATCTAGTTACACAGACAGCCTCTTGATTTCATTGGGAAAGGAGAGATTTATTGCCTGGCAACAAGATGACTGGGTGATCCACATGTCCCTGTAGGTTGCTACTCCAGGCTCTAAGATCAGAGGTGGAGATTAAGTTGCTTCTTTTTTGGTGTTTAACACTCTAGTGCATCTAAGGACAGATTCAAGGTGTAGCTTTCTCGTGGATCACATGGTCCTTTCTCAGCCCTGAGCCTCTCATGCTTTGCTGAGACTGTGGAGTAAAGATGTCAAAAAGGCACAGAAACTCAGCCCTCCTACCTCAGCTTTTACAGTGAAATCTACAAAGAAAACTGCAAGGTGAGAAGACATAAAACCATACCAAGCTATAAAATCCAAGACAAAGAAGATGCTACTGTACTCTTAATTAAAAAAAAAAAAAAAAAAAAAAAAAAAAAAAAAAAAAAAAAAGCAATCCTGTCAGTGTAGAGTAAGGGAGATTCCATGTGCAAAGTCAACCCTCCTCAGGCTGCTCACCAAGCAGAAAGTGCAAATGCGTGGTTTCAGCCAGAGGATGGAACAATGGAAGAATAGGTTTTGTAGAAATATCCCCAGGAACCAAGCAGCCATTTGAGAAACTGGGTTTCGAAAGGGACCCTAAAAGAAGGATCATAAAGCCTTCCCCGAGCCTGTGCTCAACGGGTGCTGCTACTCACCTTTATATAATGTCTCTCGAGCTGAGACAGAATGCCACCTGGGATTAGATTGTAGCATGCCCTGAGCCAGCCAAGCTACCTATTGGGAAGGCCTGTGAGGTTGCAGAAATGGAAGCCCACACAGTTTCCATTTGCTGTGATCAAGATCCGGGCCAATTCTGCTCGACCATCTGTTCGTCACAGCCAGTGTCCACTCTAATTGGCAGAGATCTCAAACCCTGCCACCCAAGGGCAGCCTCAGAAATCGCAATTTCTGAAAGTGCAGCCAGACCTCAAAGCAAGCCCAGCACAGCAGGCAGTTTCCCTTCTCTCCCTGATGTTATCTCTACAGGCTGGGCAGAGATGCAGGGGGGTCTGTACCAGGGACAGATAAAACGATGAAGTGCAATGTATAAACTATAAAAGCCAACAGTGGACAAAGTTGGCTTGAAAATAGTCCCTATGATAAGGGAGGCATATTGTTTTGTGGAAGAGAAAGGAAAAACTTAAAGATGTAGCAGAGAATGGTTTGGTGGGCATTCGAAAAAGATGGAAAGCTAGTTTCTCCATCAGGGCTATTTTTAGAAATGCTGCTTGGCCACCAGCAAAAATGGAAGATTCCTAGGCCCCGCTCCAGGTACAAAAATCTGAACTTAGAGGGAGACAAAACTCAACCTGCATTTTAACTAGTTCTGGGGTGATTTGTTTTGTTTTGATTTTTTTTTTTTTAAGACAAGGGCTCACATTTAAGCCAAGGCTAGCCTGGAACTTATATCAACCTTACTGTCTCAGCATCCTGAGTGTTGCAATCACAAGCATGATGACCCCAGTCAGTACACTCAGATCCTCTAGGAGTTACTAAAGAAATGCTTCCGGGAGAGGACAGAGATAGTGTACCCAGTCTTGATCCTACGAGCATGGGGAACACAACATGGAACACAGAGCTTGCACTGGTCTCACAATCAGAACTGGAGGTACAGATTGGTGTGAGCCAAAATTTCCAGACGGTGGCAGCTAGTGACGCCTGGAGGAACAACTTGTCTGTTTCTATAGTCAGAATCCAAATGTGATAATACTTTTTTCTGTTTGTTTTTTGTTTTGTTTTGCTTTGTTTTTTTTTCAAGACAGGGTTTCTCTGTGCCTTTGGAGGCTGTCCTGGAACTAGATCTTATAGACCAGGCTGGCTTTGAACTCACAGAGATCTGCCTGCCTCTGCCTCCCGAGTGCTGGGATTAAAGGTGTGTGCCACCAATGCCCGGCTGTGTTCGTATTTTAAAAGAACTGTCACTGGGGGAGTTTTGGAGGGAACAGAGCCCCATTCTT